AGAGAGAGAGAGAGAGAGAGGGGAGAGAGAGAGAAAACTATTGAGAGACAAATTGCGAGAGAGACTGCGAGAAAGATTGCGAGAGAGAAAAGCCGGCCATCGGTATTGAAAGTCAATGAGAAACTGCCCAAAACGTGGCGAATAAGGTCGGCTGAAAATCAGCTATACCGAATTGGCTTATCGTTATTTACGCCAAAAATACGTACCAAACGTCCCTGGTACTATTCGCCCAGGGGCACCGCCGCAGTATACACGTTGACCGTATTGTTTTGTTTGATTGGCATCATAAATACTGGCCAAAATGAATGGATTGTGGTAGTATTTGGGGATTTTTCCGACATGATCGGCGCCGGCTTACACATGAAGATGGTCGTCATTATTGGCATCTGGTTTTGTATTGTCTGTCAATATATTTTCCGGTACAACTATGTTCATCGCATTCGACCCACATTCTTGCAAGTATTCGCAATGCTCTCCGGTTTGGTTACCCCTCAAAGTGTAGGTCTGTCGGACCCACAATCGTTATACAAGTTTGTCAAAATCGCGACCAAGATCTTTAAGATCAATCACTTTATTTGCAACTACATGTCGCAGAATATCGGGCTGTTGTGTCTAATCCCCTATGCGTTGTACAAACCATGGGTTACCACATTGGTATTTGGTGTACCAAATGCCATGTTGTTCACTTTGATTACCTTCAACGCGATCAATTGCCTGTCCTGGTCATTCGTATATTTATACATTATGGCCGATTATCTCAAGAGTAAGATTCACGTGATCAACATGAGAATCATATCAGCGCCAACTATACTGCAGTTTGAGGCAATAACTAAATCATTGGATAGCGTTTACGTGGAGATCAATGAGTATAATACCACTTATTGGTCGAAATACTTGCTATCAGTCTGGCTTACACTAGGCGTGGGAGTGGTGTTCCTATTGTACACTATTCTCTATACCGAGATGCTATTCTTGATCAAATTACTACTAATGTATGGCTTTCTCCTATACTGTGGTGGTTTTATCGCTATCATAATCACTGTATCGGCGGTTAACACAACAGCTAATAAGTCATTCGGACTATTGAACACGGTTGTATCTCAAAGAATAAGGTAAAATTGTATAAATAACTAAATTGCACTTAAGATGAAATTATTTTTATAATTATTTTCAATTGTTTATGCCATTGTTAGGCAATACTAAGTGATGGCACCGGGAGTTGTATTCACACCTACTGTCGCACCGATGACTGCATCGGTTATAATATGCATCTAACTCTGCCTGTATCTTAGCATTTGTCTTATTATAATTAATTTAATTATGAAATGATTCTTTGTTTTACAAAGTGCAAACATTATATAACTTAAACTTAACTTAAAATCTATTTTAATTATGAAATGATTCTTTGTTTTACAATATGTGAACATTATTTAATTTATACTTAACTTAAAATCTATTTAATCTTAAAATGATTTTAATTAGAAATGACTTTAAAATTAATAAAACATACAAAAGACTAATACATTAAAAATATTTTTAAAAAACACTAGTGTTTAAAGTTATTTGACGGGTCGGACAGTCGGTGCCGATAACGAGATGCCCGACCGTTGGCTCTGTTTCGGTGGCGATTGTTTGGAGGCTTTAATAATGTCCGACAATTTGCTGTCAATATTCAAATCAGTTGATTGGGCGGACGCCGAGCCCTTACGAGATCTCTTGTCAATACTGTCTCTACTCTTATAAAACATCACCAAAACTGATCCAAAGAGTATGAAAGCAATTGCCAACAAAATCACAAACGCTATGAACAATGCGTTGACCACAGGATCGCCGGAATCGATGAACTAAACGATGAAATTGTATTTAATAAGTTTTAGAAAATAATTTTTAGCACAAATTATATGATTGTAATAATAATTTAAATTTAATGTCAAATAGAGATAACACTAATGAATGTGCGAACAAAACCAATAGACAGAGGCATAGCTATCGGACACAACAACTAGTGGTCAATAATTACCGGTCCAGTAGTCGATGGCCGGGAAGTGTATACCTCTGTGGCCAACCCCTGGATATATTGGGCACACTCTGCACTCATCGGTCGTTTAATCAGCAATTTATCGCAAAATCTATCGCTTAATTGATGGCCATTTTGGGCGCATTTAGTCACCACTTTGTCAATATCTTGTGTCAGTGTGTCCGACACTTTCAGACAATTTCTGGCCAACTGTGCCCACCATTCAATTGGTTTTTAATGTTAACATATAGTGTATGACATAACATGTAATATAGTATGTTATATACAGTACAATGTACTGAGTACATACCCATTGGCCATAAATATTGAAAATCATGTACCAGTAGCAACATATGTCATTTTTGGCAAAGTCTACGGGCACAGTTGACGGCAACTTTAGGGCCCCAATTAGACACTTAGGCACACGAGTGATGAGATTAGACTTTAAGTACTCGAGCACATCGGGTAAGCACTCGTAGCCGTCGCCAGTGTTGCCATTCAGTCCATTTTGCGCGCCCACCGGACCGGTAGTCGGGTCCACACCTACTGTGCCAGTGATGGCCACACATATGATTGCGATCACAGTGTATATCATTGGCACTGATATTACAGACATTTGATTGCAATTTGTATTCAATTATGAAATGATTATTGATTTTAAATGTTTGAGTAGTTTTTGACTTTTTAAAACTTCACGTGAATTTATATAATTATTTTGTTTTATAATTGATTTTTATTTTATTATTATGTATTTTGTTTTGCATTACATTTGATATGTCACTCAATCAATGGTTTGTGTATTATTAAGATATTAAAAGTTATGTTTGGATTTATTTTGAGTAAAAATATATGAAAATAATTACTAATTACTTTATTTATAAACAAAAAATAATTAAAAATGGTAAAATAACGTCCGAATACATCAAACAAACAAAAAATAATACATTAAAAAATATGATAAAACACTAGTGTTTAAAGGTATTTGAAGAGTCGGAAAGTCGGAGCCATAACGGGGTCAGACCGTTGGCCCGTTTCGGTGACTTTAATAATGTGTGACAATTGGCTGTCAATATTTAAATCAATGGATTGGTTGGACTGGATCAAATGATTTACTATTTTAGAAATTATGATAAATATTTAATTTGAAATATATCTTTAAAATCCAGTAATTTTTTTAAATAATAAATAACTAATTAAATAATTATTATTGAAATTATATGTTTTATTGATTACAAAAGTTAGTTATAATAACGCAAAAACAATGGATTGATTGGCAATTGGTTTGTACAGTAATTATATGCAATGGACGGGAAGTCTAACAATAATAAGTAAAAATTAATACAATTAAATATATTCAATTAAAAACATAATTAAAATGCAATTTGAAAAATATAAAACATTTAGTTTTAGTTAAAAACATAATTAATTAAAAATTTTCATATTTAAGTGATTTAAGCTATAAATGACCTAAAAATCAAATTAAAACATAAAAATGAAATCTAAAAATATATTTTGATAATAAGTTAAACACAAAATATTGTATCAATTGATGGCTTAAATCCAATATTAAAACCCATAGACATTAACAGCAATCGACACCACAATCGCCACCAATAATACCGAACTCATGGCCGGGAGAGGACGGGTAGTCGACGACAAGGGCCACGGATAGTCACCGGCGCTCAAAGACAAGTCACCGCCGCTCAACGACAGTACAAATTGATCGCATCGGGCGCTCATCGGGCGTCGACTGGGCTGACCCTCACAGTAACCATCACTCAAATCAATGCCACTTTGTGTGCATTTGTCTCTAACCAACCGATAGAAAGAGTTTGATTCGTCCGACACTCGGATGCAGTGTCTGTCCAACTGTCGGGCCATTCAATCGGAGGTTAAAATTACATATCATTAATACATTTTACATAATAGAGTGCATAATAGATATACCCATAAATACATGACACCAAACATCTCGTGAATAGCGCAACAATAAGCGGGCAATACGGGGTCGGGAGGGGTGAGTCGGGTCAGCCCCCACCTCCCGGTGCCCAAACAATCGGCCACTTTTCCGCTTATTTCGGTCATTTGGCTCATAATATGATGACTACACACATGAGTCATCCGCTTGTCATCCAATGCCCGGACAGACCTATCGATCCCTCTCTGGGCGTGAGTTATGGCACCGATAGTCGGGTCCACACCCGCTGTGCCAGTGATGGCCACACATATGATTGCTATCATAATATAATGCATTGTCTCTATGTTTTTGATTATAAACAAATTTTTAATTAATTATATATTAAATTATTTGTAAAATTAATTGTGAAATACAAACCGACGGCGAGAGCACCGGACGATCACTTCCAGAGGTGTTGTGCTGTTGTGTGGGATGTGATGGACAGCACCGGTAGTCGGGGTTTGCGGACAATCTCTTGGCTTAACACAAACTTATTGTTAGTTTTATGCCTTTTAGTTCTGAAAGCATGTTTTGCGTGCTTTTGTTTAATATGTTGTAAACTGCGCTAAATATAGATTTTTAAATATTATGTTAACGCCATATAAATATTAATCATTTTTTAATTTACAACGTTATATTGTCCATTATTCTTGAATCAGATGACCTAGGTGCAAATTGGCTACATAATTCAAATTTTATCATTTACTACATGTTGCTTAATTAAATGTAAACTTGCACGTGGTGTTATATGACACAATTAACAACCCTACTATCAATTTATTGTTTGTATTGTTTTACAATTTATAATGTAATTAATAATCACTAATTGTTTTTTTGTTGTAAAAATAACATTAAAATAAACTTGAATTTTGTTTGTAAAACAACGCAAACAATAGAAAGGGTAGGCAGTAATGGAAAAAGAGGCAGAGGGTTTCAAAGTAAACATGTAAAATTAAAACTTTGATTACAGACATAAATAAATATTGCCCAATAATAAAATATACCAATAATTGAAAGCTTTAAATATTTATTTCAAATTTTCAAATAACATAATAATTATTGTTAATTATTAATTACAACTATTATCATAATGTTTAAAATTTATTTGCAATGGCTATGCAATACATCAATATATTTTGCTTTGGCGATAAATTTACTGCCATCCCTCTCACTGATGGTCATTTGTTTGGCCAGTTGGCGAAAATCGTGACTGATCTGAATCAGCGAATAGCCAATGACGTCACTGTATGTTTAAAGTAAATGTAAATAGGTTAATATTGTATTTTATTGTAGTTAAATAATACAATTAATAATTGTCAATTATTATTTGTTTATTAATTAACATAATAAATTTTAATTTAAAAACTAGTTGTTATTAACCAACTATGCGTAGGACAGTAACCGTTCATAGCATAGAGGTTGTGCTGTACTAACAAACATGAATAATTTTAAAAATGACCTTACGCTAAAAAACAAGGATCACACAGCGATGCTATACGTTAACCACAATTCG